ATTCAGCCTACTCCTCAGAGACCTCTGCTCTACGCAGCAGGATGAACATGTGGTCAACTTCGTTGAACGCGCCATAGAAAGAGCAACGTTCTCCGTTACACGCGAATGATGGAGTGGATCGAGCTCCACACTCCGTCGACGGTCAGGGGTCAGTTACACAGCCGCGTTCTGCAATGTTTTGAGAATCAGGACGGGAACGTCATGCGATTGGATGATGATCGCTGACCAGAACAATTACTTGCAAGGACTCAATGATGCTTGGAACGAACATCTGCACCAGCTCAACCCGACGGGAAGATTTCATTCTGGAAGCTCTGAACGAATCATGTGAAGTTCGTCGTGCCCATCGAGCACACAGAACTTACTGGGCAACTCCAGAGCCATGTAAGGACCACTGGAGACCTTAGTGGCGCCCACTAGAGCAATTCTCTGTCAATGGAAGCGCACTTGATGAAGAATGATGTTCAAATGAGCTCTCCTAATTTACCTAGTTGAAACCAGTTCTATTCTACCACCGTTTGGTTTAAGCGCGACTGAATTCCAAAAAACTTCCATAATGTTCGTCTAGGTGCGATTCTCTTGACCAGTTCCCCTTAAATCCGATCAGCTATTCAGATCGTTCACTAGTAGCCTCTTGTGGCGCTAGTGAACGATCTGAAGCCAAATCTCAATCTGAATCTGAAGCCTCTTGTGGCTACTACTTCAGTTTTCGGCATTCTCACCAAGAGCCTCATTCTTCATAAATTAGTTAGGACAACATAGGCCGATGGGTTGTACGAGTGATCTACTAACCCGTAAGCAATAGTGGAGGACACGTCCTCTCAGCACACGATCCACTCGCGAAGCTGTTGAAAAGTATTGTTGACATACTTTGCTATTTAGCAGAAATCTTCTGGGGCAGATAAGCAAAATCTCGAAACCCACATTCAATTTTTCTCCAACCGAAATTCTTTATATTTGTTGTGAAAAAAAAGCATTGAGCAGCTTCACGAGTTCCGACCACAGGTTCCAGTTCAAGACAATACTATGAATAAACAAAAAATTTCAAAAATTCTAAAACAGTTCAATTGTTCCGCAAATTATTTCACATCTTCCAAGATCTCAATGCGGTTTTGAAGGAAGCTTCAGCTTAAATTCAGGCAAATTTATACATATTCGATATTCAAACGTTGTGGCGGCAACATCGCTCCTTAACACGTTGACGACAATCGCGTTTTGCGGGAAAGCGCCGCGTGGGACAATGGCGTGTTTTCGCATGCGTCCGCTTTGAGCCACCGGTGGCTCATATTGTCCCTCGTGGACCACTTTTTTGCCGCTATGTCAAATTTCGCAAAATGATTAGTCAATCGTGCAGGGACTGCTATTTCAACCATCCTTGACCCTATTGGATGCCATCTCATGCCCCGCCCTCTGCGATCACGCCCACTTTTTAGCGCGATCGTGATTTCCAAAATGTGTGCCGTTAACTTCTGTTTCTCAGAATTTTCTTGGAATTTTCTGCTTTTCACACATTACAATGATTCATAGACGGCCACACCGACACATAGCCGGCCACGCCATAGTCGGTGTCAAAAAAATCGCTGGCGCCAAAGTGGCGCCCGCTGGCGCCAGGTGGCGCCAACACTGGAAGGCAACGATATTCGTGACAAGGATGTCAAATAACCTAGCTATGGAGGTTTCTATCGCATTCGGTGCCAAAAGACTGCTAGCGCCGAAATGGCGCCAACGACAAATAAGATCTGGCGCCATATGGCGCCAACGACAAATAAGATCTCACGTTCATGATCAAAGCCCCGCGCAGTCCCTGCAGCCAAGGTTCCGTCCAAAAAGAACTATTTTGGAGGTTTCTGCCGCAGCAGTAGCTAGTTGAAAAATTTCAATTTTTAATTCAAAATATCCCATGAAGGGCGGCTCAAATTGTCCCACGTGGCCACTCACTCATGAGCCACCGATGGCTCAGAATGTCGTCAACGTGTTCCAGGAAAGGTAGAAGGGAAACTTCCGGGTACATCATCGCGCTGTGTCGAACTTTTGCATCATACCCCCCCCCCTCCCTCCTATACCGACCCCATTTCACTACCAACCTGCCACCATCTCGAACCTTCCTAAAGTTCTCCGTGAAGCGAGGCTGATTCCACCCCTTTGGGTCTTCACCCATCTGCTCGTCATAGAACGGTTTTCTTTACAGCGGGAAATCATATTTTTGCGAAAGAGCGGATGCGGTTCCGGAAAAAAGAAACGCTAAGGGCCCGAGGAGTGTGCAAAAGAGGTTCAATAAATCAACTCTTCACTTTAGGACCCCATTTTCCGAAGTTCAGACAAAATCGTGATCCACTTTTCTACAGCGTAGCGCCACATTTTGTCGTATAGGCATCGATCCAACTCCTCTTAAACATGCCCGATAAAAATGTTATTATGCAAAATGATTGCAATATTCGTGCAGAGGACGGATCGAAATGGTCAAACTGCTCTCTTGGACATTTATCGATTAGAACCTATTGCTTCTCAAAAGCTCGTACGGATTTTGCCTTCCAGCCCATGAGCCATTCGTTTCTCTTCCCGGTGCAGATGAGCCAGTCAAACGAATTGAAGTGAAACTGCGATGTGTGGCGCATTCCAAAGCGAATAGTCAACAATGATCTACCCTTCTACATTTCCCACTTAAACTGCTCTCACGCCATCGGATTGCGCGATGATCAGTTGTGCTTAGATACCAGACCTTCAACCGGTACTCGAGCCACTTTCCGGCTGGAAATATCGGTCGGTCGAACTTTTGAATAGCCACCTTTTGAGTTTATGGAGGAGCCGTTGAGGAGACACCGCGATCTTGCAACTGCGGAACAAGAGGCCAAAAATATATTCAAGAAGACTTCGTTGTTCTTCAAGTGTCGGCTTATCAGCTTTCGCCCTTTCCAAGCGTGATTGCAAATGATCAATTAACCTGGACTCATCGCCGTATTTCGCGCGTAAGAAGTTAACCGCGTGTGTATAATTGTCTGCCGTCACGGTAAATCTGCGCACAACACTCACGCGGGGCTTCTCCCGCGCACGCATGTGCGTTGATCA